TTCCCGTGGCAATTGGCTTACCACGGTACCTCCGAGTTCACCGCCCGTACCCTGAGCAACGGCAAATTCACAGGTTTCATTGCCACCAGAAGCATAGCGGAGTCGGTCTTCGTGACCCATTTTCTCCAACAACTCCGCGAGAACCGCCTTGACCTTGACGGCATCGCGGAGGCTCTCCACACTCAACAGAGCACAGACATTCCCAACAAAACTACCCATGCCCGAGCGTTTCACGCTCCCCTCATCAAACTGCTTATCGACCAACTGCAAACCCACTCTCCAGCACCTGCGGAAGGCTCCGCCCTACGCGCCCTCAAAACCACCAACGACGAACTGGCTCGTGCACGTCAGAAACTCCACGACCTGGGCAACCCACTCACACCAGTCAAGAACACCAGCCGATCTTCCGCACCAGCCGCCCCTTCTCACGCACCCACGCCACCACCACCGAAACCACCAGCCATCACCGACGTCTTGCAACCACCACACCCCACGCTGCAAGACGATATCCCCGAAGGCTGGAACCACCCAGAGATCCAACAATGGGTCACTACCTTCGACCCCACCATCCAAGAAGCTGCCACGGAAGTCATCCGACTGCTGCAAACAAGCAAAGTCACCACGCAGCAGCTAAAAGAAGCAGCCACCAAGTATGGCCTACCCCTCAACCGGGTCAACCGACTCCCCATTCGCAGCCTACAACAGCTGGTGGGAGTCGGAGCAGCCATTGGTTGCTGACTCGCCATCTTGGCCCAGCAGCAACCCAGCCACACCAACCTCACCCAACTCTTCCACCTGCACCGAGCACTTTCCATGCTCATCCACCGCACCCAATACATCGACCGCGCCGAGGCCATCTTTGCAACCGGCCTCATCCACATCACCCTCCTTTTCGCATACCCGTCCAACACCCGTCGCTCACAACAATGGCGCAACCGTCTCCGCCAGCTCCACATTTTACCCCACACCTACCACTACCACAACTTCCTCTCTTCCAATTCCGTCTACATCAAGCTCCACTTCAATCCCGACCAGCCTCAACGCTGCTACCATCAACATGGCCACTTCTACGTTGGCTCCACAGCTATCGGCATCCCCCACCGCGAGCACAATCGCCGCGCCAAACTAAAACAACTCCAAAATAACATTCCCATTTCTGCAGAACTCTCCTTACGTTATTGGCATTCACACAACAACATCCACCACTACACCACTATTCAACTCACCTCCCATGACACATACGACCAAGCCTGGATCCAAGAGCACCACTACATCGCCAACTGGATGCCTTCACTCAACTGGCCTTTCATTTCCCACCACCTCAAACTCAAAGCTCAGGGATGGCAGTTCGCGAAACACAGAGCCCACTTCTACTCCAGATTAGCCACCCACAAACGACTTTTCCGACGCCTTCGACAACGCCAGTACACCCTCAGAGAACCACACCTCTACACTTCCACTAAGCATCACGCCCTCCAGCTTCTTCGCAACCTTACCAAACACACCGCAGCCTCTTTTGAGGCAGCAAAACAGCTAAGAAGCGGCCGCCACACGGACCTCGAGGTGTATGCAATCCGGCGTATGGCCGCAAACTTGGAAGAACCTGGCCGCAGCCGAGCTCTTCACATCCTCAACAAAGCCTTGATCTACCGCAACCTCACGCCACCAAAACCAAACATCCCATTGACAGTGCCCTTCTTGGCCCATGACGACTTTACCAAGCACTGCCAACAATGGCTTCGTACTACCATCCAGCAGCACAAGCATTTCACCATTCCCCTCCACCTCCCCTCCCACAGACTGAGGGAAGCCGCCCACAAAACCCTCCGCTCCCACCTGCACAACCATCGCACATGGGAGGACACCCTCCACTCCCCGCCAGATCCAGCAGACCTCCCCTGTGCATGCAATCACCTTCGCACCCTCCTGCAGGATCCCGTTACCCCTACCATCAACGGCCACTACATCCTTACACTTGACCAACTCCAACTCCCTACACACCTCAGCATTTTCCTCAACGCCAATATGAACAGTACCTATTACCCAAGCAAAGCTCGTTACTTCCTCATTTTCAAGACGGCCTACACCAAATGGCTCAAACTACAAGGGCTTCCACCATCCCTAGTTCAACACCTACAGCCTTTCCTTGAGCACCAATGGCGCCTTCACAACACACACCTCAAGCAGCAACCCCGTTTTACGGCCCGCCTGCTTCGTCAACTCCAAGAACATTTGGGTAAACACACATTGCTCCACCATGCCGATCATGAGCTCCAACAACTGCGATTGTTTTGCCCTCGCCAATACTTCACTGGCGCCTTGAACACCTGGCAATCCCCCGAACTATTTGAACCACTTCCCTACATCACTGCCGCCAACATCCATGACCACCTGGCTGCCACCGTCCCCCCCCATCCTGCGCACCCGCTACAAGTGGGGCTTCCGAAAAGACTTCAACATCCCCTACGGTGTTGTCCACCTTAAAGAGAAGAAGCACTGGCAAAAAGGCCGTACAATTATCTCCTACTTCCAATCACTAAGCGGCAACTTGCTACGCATCACCAGCCGTGCCCTCGACATTATCCTCCAACACCTCTACCCTCAGCATCCAGGCCAAATGTCCATTCCTCAGCTTTGGCACCACTTTCACAGTTACCTCACCCAAACCCCACCCGACATCTCACTACACGCCACCAACGATGACCTGGTCGGCTTTTTCAACTCCGTCCCCCAGCACCGACTCATCGATGCAGTCCACTCCCTTGTTCTCCACTGGCAACAACAGCAATCCACACACACCTTAACGGTGGATGTCCAGGCCACCGGCAATCCTTTCCACCACTCCCACATTGGCAGACACCATCGCAAACACCCTACCCAACGCACCATCCAGACTTCCGACATCACCACCATTGTGGCTTTTGCCCTCGACACATGCATTTTCCGGGCTTGCAACAACACTTACAAACAAATCCGAGGGGCCGGGATTGGATCCCAGCTCTCTCCAGCCCTATGCAACGTTGCTATCACCCTCATTGAGCACTCCTGGCATCAGATACACAACAACCTCCTTCAACACACAGACCTCCACTTTACTTACTATCGCTATGTTGACAACCGTTTCATTGTCCACAACGAACATTTCCTTCAGCACCCGGCTATCCAAACCCTTATCCACCACAATTTCTTTGGCGACCCTGTGGAACTCGAACCGGTGGAGGATTTTCATCTCCTCGGTTTCAACATCGACCTCCCACAACGCACTATCACCTACATGCAACCTTCTCAACCCTGGAAAATCCGGGATTCCACAACCGCCGGGAGCCAGCGCTTGGCTCTATCAGGCCTCCAATCACGACTCCACACCATTCGAAAATACACATTTCCACCCTCCAGCGCTGACGCTGCTGCGGCTGAACTCGTGAACCTATATGTCCAAAAGGGGCATAATTACCACGCCTGCCACCGGTTTTTGAAAAAAGCGCCGAATGCGGCGACCTGTGTGTGTCCAACCCTGGACAAAGGGTCTTTCACCACCACTCTTTCCACTTTACACAGGCAGGGGCGTGTGGCACTCCCGCCCTACCACACGCAACGAAGCTGTGGGCGGGAGTGGGAAGCAGGGCCTGATCAGCCCTGCGTACCTGCTGAACTTTTGACCACGCTGTCTAATTGGCTTTGTTTGATTCCATGGTTCTTCATGCTATCACCCCCAAACCTACTCGTCCCCAGCAGCTGCGCCGCCGATTTGCTTGCTGCCGCTTTCGTGACAACAATGTTAAACCTTTCAAGTGCTCGGACCTATGCACCTTTCTGTTCTCTCACCTTCCTTCCCAACGTGACTTGCGTTAACTGAAAACCAGTGTCAGAGTGTGCATGTTTGTTGTTTGTCTGTCTGTGGACACCCGTGGTTGCCTCTGAACCTCCAAAAGTGGAAACGGACTTCCAGCTCGCCAGTCAGAATCCAAACGCGGCTACAAGAAACTATTGTGGTCATGTCGGGTGGATACAATTGCTTGTGCACACGACCTGCAACCAGAATGCCGCGTTGATGAATATCACTTCATCACACAACAGTTGGATGGCATTCCAGCTGAAAGCACCACCAAAGTGTCAATGAGATCTTTGTGACTGTTGCGAAAGGGCCAATCGCTTCACCGTCGACCGGCTGGAGGATTGACCCAAATTGTACATTGTACCTTGGGTATATCCCATTGCCAGCAACAGTGGATGATGATGGTTAGTAAAGGTAAAGGACTTTCTCTAAAGTAGTGATAATTGTGTACCCACTGTTACAGGTAATAGGACAGACCCAAATTGTACATTTTGTGTACAAATGCTCAACTTGTGATGCGGCGCCGATTTGGGCTGTAAAGTCTTCCTGAATCTTTGGCAACCTCTCTGAAACATCTCTCTCGGGATGAGATTCTGTGCGGTCAAAGGCTCTGAGATACAACTAAGTGAGACGATAGCATCAAGTCTGGGATTCTGATGAGATGCGTTCTTACAACTGGCCTGCCTTCTATGTTCACTGCTTACTTTCTGGCATCATTTCTGGCATTTGATCTGACGTGTGTTCTGGGATGTTGGGGTCCAACGCGAAGCACCCTGGCCTGCTTGCAAGATGGAATGAGGTCCGGCACCGATCACAGGAAGACAGGGCAAACACTGTTCAGCAAGAAGGCGCCAGGACGAGAAGCACATAAAAGAAAGTGAAAGGGTTTTCTTCGACCCTGTATTGGATATCACGCACTCGATACGTCGAAACTCCTTCCCGACGCTGGTTCTTCTAATCGCCTCTGAGAGTGGTGGCCTGCTCTATACACGAATGAGACTAGTTTTGCTTCTTGGAGATGCCTGGCGGGGTCTTTGTAAGCTTTAGGTAGCAAAGATATGCTTTATGAAGTTAGTATTTTGCTTTCAGGCGAGCAAGGGATATACATGTGGGCATCATTGCTGATGGTAAAAAATGCAGTATTTCAACACTGTAAGCAAATGTCCATAGCTTGACGGTAGTGCGTGATTGCTCCCCGGTAATCTCCGTCTCGATACCTGGAGGTCACTGCGTCTGCTATATTGACCGCTTATCAACGGGAACGGCACCTCGCTGTTCCTGCTTCCTTCGCTTGGGATGCCTGAGATCAAGACTCACAGTGTATAAGCACCAATCTCCACAGTGCCCAGGTTTTGGTGAAACATCCGAGAGCCCAGCAGGTTGAGGTACGGGGCTTGCTTCGGCCTGCGCCTGCGCTTCCTGGAAAACAACATCTGCGACTGCACCACTCATCCGATTTTCAACATCCTTGCGCGCGTCTGCACGGGCATCAACTTGGGTCTTGGTTGGCCTAAAGCGCAGGCAGCCATGCAGTATTGTTCAGTTGCAGAAAATGCGAATTCCTGTATTGAAAGTTGTATACCAAGAAAGCAAACATGAGCCCTTGACAGGTCGCTGCCTAGAAGCCGTTCCACCTGATATCCATTGAAACTTAAATGGAAGAAACTGGACACAACAAGAGCCTCCGCTCGGAGGCCGAGTGAGTCAGCCAATCGGAGGGTTGCCTCAGAGAAATGAGGTTCTGCGCTCGCAGCACTCTGTCGGGACTCAAAAATCATATCATGGCATTATGCCACTCGTGCCTCCAATTCTTCAACAAGGAGAAGGCGAGACTCTGCTCGACTCTTTTGAAAAAGAGCCTGAAAGGGCTTGCTGTTCGAACACAAAAGAGTTGGTTGGAAGAAGGTCAACCTTCTGCAAAGCAGTATGGAACACATGCCTTCTTCGTAGCAGCCGGTGTCAGGTCTTTGCATGAGAGAGCCTCGCTTGAGAGTGTGAATTTGGGCCATACGGCCATACGTGTTTGAACTGCCGCTCCTGAGCCGCATCAGATCGGGCGCCCTCCTTATTGAGCGCATCAGTTGCAAAGCGGTCCATGACATGGAGCAGTCTGTTTTCTCCAAGGGCAACACCCAATCATTCAGGGAGGCCAGGCACACTGCACGGTTCCTTTGTCATGCTCAAAACTGGAACTGAACTGACTGCTCTCTCCAAACATCTTCAATCTGAAGCTATCGTGTGGCTTTGGGTCTCATCCAAAGGCAAGGTTCGAGAAGTACACACCTGGCACTGGTTCTCCTGCAGCCTGTGCCGATTTTGATCATAGTTGAAATCCTACCCTAACTGCCAAGACAAGTTTGGCTGTTGTTGATCTTACTTGATGCTGTCGTGGCCTTAGCTAGACAAGGAGGATTATTGTTTCGCACGGTACGTCGAAAAGGCTGCTCTTGAGAAAGGAGGATTGTCAACTTGTGTGTCGCAGTGTGACCACTTTGCCTTGATCTGTGCTCATATTTTTGGATGACCAGCTGTGGTGTGCGGCGTGGGCCCCGACTGTGAAGCATTGCAAAATAGATGATTGAAACCCTCGTTGCAATGCATTCCCACACCTTTCCGTATTAGCCGCTCTTCACACAAGAAAACAGCGAAGAGATAATGCACAAGCCTCCGCGAGTGCAATTGCCTCGCCATATAAGCGTGTCGCTTCCTCAAAATTCTTGGCCTTGATGGCAGAAGCAGCCCATTTCTCTGAAACCAGAGTGCATATAAATGTCAGATGCAAGCGGCAACATGTCATTTATTGTGCCTTGCCTGAAAAGCAGCGTTGCCTTCGGCTTTTTTGGTCTCGGCCTTACAAGAATACTTTGTCAGTTTGCGATGAATTGTAAACCACCGCTCTGCAAAGGCCCGCCTTTGCAGGCGCTGGCTTCTCTGTTTCACCTGATGCTAGTTCTCTCTTTTCGCAAGAACCCCATGCTCTTCGTTCAATCGAAAATTACCGCTCCCTCCCAGTCGGGATCTCAAGCCTTCAGCAGAACTATCTTCACATTTGCCCATCTTGCAGCCTGCAAATGTTTCAAAAATGTGGTAAGTTTTGGCGAAGGACAGGGAGTGGAGATCTAGTAACCACATGAATAGTTCGAGCGCTTCTTCACGGAAACTCCCCCGCCCTCAGGTGGGGAAATTTCCTTAAGAAGCGTGAGCTATCCTTCGTCCATTGGGTAGTAGCAAGCTGCTAGCCTTACGTGTTAAGTAGGCGCCAACTTAGTTAAGTAAGGGTGAGGGCACCGGGCTAAAAAAATGGTAAACCTGAGAAATGAAGAGACGAAAGCCAGCCTGGCAAACGCTTTGGGCAACGTGTTCCACTCAAGAAGTTCCAACAAACAATGTGGGAGTCTTCAACAGACCCCCTGATAATGCTAGAACCTGCTCTTCGGAGGTGCCTCTTTTTGCGGGTGAGGGACCAACTACAAATAAACACAGCATCAGTTTAAAAATATTCAGCGGGGATCAAAGGAAAAAAGGTGATCAAAAAACAAAAACATAGTCCCAGTAAGCCATGAAAGGACAAGGAGACTAGGAAAAGGACAACAGCAGCAGGGCGGGCCACAAGAGGACCATGAATGCATGATTGCAACAAATAATCAAGATTAGACGAGGGTGTGCAATGCTTGCTGTGTGGATATGCTATGGGGTGACCTTAAAAAGTCGGTCGTGGCAGCGCATTGGCCAAAGTAGTGCAGATTTCGTGGCAACGAAGTGGGGTTACAAACTACAAAAACCACCAAACGCTGAAGGCACCACAAAACACATCAACATCATCAAAAGCTACACACCGTATTGCCCAATCAATGAGGGGCCCATCCACCACAGGACATTGGAAAGATGCTTGCAGCCGCGTGCAACACAACATCAAAAAACTTAGGCGGGTGCGCACAATATTTTGTGAAAGCGATGGGCGCGTGGGTGACCTTTAGAACATCTGTCGTGGTAGGCCCAGCCCATTGGCGAAAGTAATGCAGATTTCGTGGCGCTGGAGAGGGTTTGGGGGGAGCGCGCGGCGCCTCCCCCTAGAGCGAACTAAACATCAAAACTCATCAGGTTCAAAAGGCGCCAACAAATAGATCACCGTCGAAAACTACACACTCCATTGATGAATGAAAGGGCACTCAAAGCGACGCAAGGACCAAGGCAACCTGGTAGCGCTTTGCTTTAGCAAACCTCGTGTTTTTGACCAACATTGACCAATGGCAGGAAAGGTCCCGAATCGATTCGGAACCGAACTTTTGGAACCGAAAGTTAGCGAACGTCAAAAACCAAAACTTTTCATGAACCGAATGTAAACAGCCGTCAATTGCCCAAACACAACCGAACCGAGAAGAAAAACGAACCGTTCCGCCCTGTTCCGAGGTCAATCACCAAAGCGCTCTGCGGCCATTTTGCTCAGACTGTCCAAGGTCTTGGAGTTTCAAGCAGCAGTCGCCCATACAGCATGTCACTGGCGCTGCCCGGCTTCAGGCGCATTCAAAAACTGATTTCCTTTCCTTGTCCTATTCCTTTCCTTTTCTTCGCTGTCCTTTTCAATATGCTTTTTAGACGGCATGGAACAAACATATTCACAAATTGCATTCCTTCCCTTTCTGTTTCCATGTACATTTCATTTCCTTTGCTTTCCCTTCCTTGTCTTTTCCTTTTGCTTGCGTTTTCTTCGCTTTCCTTTCCGATACGCTTTTTGGACTGACGGAAAAAGAATATTCACAAATTGCCTTCCTTACCTGTCCTTTTCCTTTTCCTTCCCTTTGCTTTCTTTCCTTGTCCTTTCCTTGTCCTTTTCCTTTTCTTTCCAATAAATATATTTTTTGGACGGCCTGGAACAATATATTCACACATGGCATTCCTTCCCGTTCCCTTTCCTGTTCTTTTCCGTTTCCGTTCTTCGCTTTCCCTCCCTTTTCTTTCCGTTTGCTTTCCCTTTTTCTCCTGTCCTGTGTCTTGTCTTGTCTGTTTGTCTTTTCCTTTCTTTTCTTGACCCTACTGGGTAACTTATGCCTCACAGAACCGAAACGAACCGTGAACCTATCCGAAAATCAACCCGAACCGATTCGAAGTTTCAATTAAACATTCAAACCGATTCCAACCGAACCGAAACCTTACTGCAATGGACCACGAGGCCAGCGGACCAGGAAAGGAACCAGGGGGCCAAAGGACTAGGGCGTCAAAGGACCAGCGCTCACGTCACGAAAAGCTGCGCGCACCGGGCGCATGGGCCGAGGCAACGGCAACGCAGACCAGCAAAACCAAAAGAAATTCAGGGGGTGACATGCGTAAACGCCTAACAGGCACACCAACACAAAGAATGCCTCAACTCCAGATTGCAAGAACTGCAAAGGACCTGTGAAAAGAATTAACTCTCGCTCGAAGTAATTCCTGAAGCAACCGTGCCAGAAATGAAATAGACCCATGACGAGAATTAACTCTAGAGTTAGTTCGTCAAGCGAACATGCCAGAAATGAAAAGTATTAACTCTAGAGTTTAATTCTTCACGGGACCATGCCAGAAATTAGAAGAATTATGACTCTGGAGTTCAGTCCTCGAACCACCACGCGGGCATACCAGAAATGAACTCTGGAAAGTATTCCTTTTCAGCGGGCTAGGAGACTAGGAGACCGAGGGACCAGAAAAAAAATGGACTAAGGCCTAGGGGACCACTGGACCAGTAGACCGAAGGACGAGGAGACCAAGGACCTAGGCGCCACTAGACTCGAAGACTTGAACTTTTCTTTTTGACCCTTTACTCAACTCTTTTTCTTTTTGCCCCTGCTATTATTTCCTTGGATCTTTTACATTTTGTGTGATCCAGATGCCCTCTTTTGCTTCAAAACCAAGCGCAAGCACAACACTCTTGTGGGAAGCTCTTGTGGGACTCTTGCGGGACACTCCTGTAGCTTGTAGGAGACACCCTTGTGGGGCATTCCTGTGGCAAACTCTTGCGGACACTCTTGTAGGAAACGCTCTTGTGGAGAACTCTTGTGGAACGCTCTGTGGGACACTCTCGCGCGGCTCTCGTGTGCCAAAGTCATATGGCACACTCTTGTGGGGCACTTTTGAAGGACATTCTTGCGGCACAGTCTTGCGGGACACTCTTGTGGGACACTCTTGTGGGACACTCGTCGGAAACTCTTGTTGGAAAGTTTTGTACGTCATTCTTGTAGGACACTCTTGTTGGACACTCTTGTAAGGCACTCTCTTGTGGGACGCTCTTGTGGGACACTCTCTTGTGGGGCACTCTTGCGGTCTAAAAATCACTTGTCAAGTCTCGAAACGAGCCCTTCGTACGAGACTTCCAATTTCCTCCAAAAGTGAACGTCAGGCCGAACACATCAAGCAGCGCTGCCATCCAGTGGCAGCTCTTTCCCTTTAGTTCTGAATGGAATGAGGAATCCTTATATCGGGGCTACTTTGAAGGAGCCAGCAGCTCCTTCCCTTTAGCTCTGGAATGAGGAATCCCAATCCCAACCCCTCAAAGCCACAGCCGCTGACACACCAATCCCAGTGGCACAGCGACACTCGCCTCCACCAAACGGTGCAACGTCACGACCCCCTGCACCCTCCACACCTCCAACACGCACAAAAATACTGCGCCTGCCACAAAAAGTGACGACATGACAGCTTCGTGTCTTCAGCAAAGTTTGCACCGCACCACACGGTTGAGTGATGTTGACCCTTTCTGAACACACTCACATCCACCAAAGTTGCAGCTTTAGCTGAGACGTGTCACGAAAATACAGCTTCGAGGCAACGACCTGAAACGCAAATCCCAGTCACAGCCGCCTCCAACAGACCACCCTGCAACCATCCCAGTGTCACTGAGGATCTCACAAAACGCTGCACCTGCTCAGCAAAGTCAACTTCTACAAATCAACACGTTACGTTTCTACGCTATGTCAGTCGAATCTGCCACTTCATGCTTCCATCCAAAAACCTCTTGCAAAAGCTTCCCCACTGTGATGGCCTTACACATTCGAACGGTTGCGACGTCACGCGAACAACGCTCTACCCTCAGACTCCCAGTGTTAAACGAGAACCCTTCGCCCCTTCGCTACGCATTTGGAAAAACAATTGTATTCCCAGCTGAGCCTTGCCCAGAACATTCTTTCCCGCAGCCAGGGACGCAGGAAGTGTCGACTGGCTCGGAGACCATGGTCATTGGAAAAAAGCAAGGAGTAATTCACAGGTGTCCTTTGAGTGCCGCTGCCAATGGTATCTCATAGAACTGATAGAACGGACTGCTTCTGTAAAGCAACAAGTGTGCAACTCCGAGTTGTTGTTCCATTATTGTAGTACTGTAATGCAGTCTGGTAGGAATACAATCTGGTGGAGTATTCTCGTGGTTTTTCTTTCAATCATGTTGCGTTGAGTTGGGCTGTCGAGCCCATTGCAGCTTGATACAAGAGGCTTGTATAGAGCAGCTTCAGAAAATCTGCAGAGCTCAAAACATGCTAAGCAACAATATATTTTTCTCGCGAGCGTGGAAGGTCACAGGAAAGATACCTTGGCAGCCTCTGCCCCGATGCCCGTGTCCACACCCTTGGAGAATCTCAAAAGCTTTCACTGCTTTGAGAAATCTGTTCAATTGAATTCAGCTTCAATTTGTTAAAGCCCAGTCCCGCACCATTGAGAAGGCATCCAACTGAGGGTCTTGATCTGGCCTGTGCAAAATGGAAATCAACCACTGAACATGCCGGTCACAGTGCAAAACAAACACAAAAAGTCTTGTCACCGTCTTGTCTCGCAGTTGTTTTTCACAGCTTGTCTGGCATGGCCTGTAGGCTGAGATGACTTGAGATGCAATGAAGTCCTGCATCCTCATCAGCAAAAATAGCATGAGTTACATGAGGGCTTTGTCACAGTCACAAGGGATTGATTAGACATTGTTTTTTATTCAAGAGATCTTCAAGAGATCTTTGAGATATCGACATAGAAGGTCTCCTTCTGGCCTAAGCCATCTGGACGAATCTGAAAGTACCCGGCGCTGCAAATACTTGTTTAGCTCCTGGCATTTGCTTCTCGAGATATCGTCAGCTCAAACCTGAAGCGACTTCCCGTGCAAGAGTTTGTGATTCAAACTGCAAACCACTTTCGCAGCGTAAGCACACCACCAATGTGGAGGTCCATGCTTTGGAGGGCAAAAGAGCTCCATGTTGGGCCTGGTTCCCCACATTGCCTCAAAGCCCGTGTGTTTGAGGCACTCCAGTTCAACAAAACATCGGTCTTAGTCATCTTTGTAATGGCAAAACTAAGACAGAAGCTGGAGCGGTGGACTTGAGTACCTAGACTCACCAAAAATGTTCAGAATCGAGAAAGGTTTCTGCTTTCTTTCTCTTCATCCCCCAAGTTTTCTGAGACAGGTCACATCAAAAGTGTTGCTCAATTTCTGGCGCCTCGGTTCCTCCCATGTCGTATGCGGCATCCCACAACACATGTGGGGTTGGCCCAGCCTGGTAAGGCTTTCAATCATTTCAATCTGAAGGAAACAGCAAGTTCAACCTGAGGGGACGAAAGCCAAGGGTCTTTTTTGCGCTCGGTCCATGCTCTCATTGATGACATTTCAAGGGATCTGTCAATGATGCTGGAAATGCCATTTTTCCATCTTGCACTACCAGCATCACTCGGCCCCTCAACGAACCCAGAAATGTTCCTTGGGTACAGCAGCCTGTTGTCAGTCATGTATTGACATGCAACAAACATCCCAAATCTGGATTGCTGAGGAATGCAACAGATCGGTCTTCGAGGTGTACATGCACCTCAACTTGCTGACTTTTAGCATCAATACAGGTGAGCACTTTGCTGAGGGCGCTGGCAAAAGACTCAGGATGATCCAGCTCTATCCTAGCTGCCATGTAGGGACATGCTCGGATTTCTCGACTTTGCTTGATGTCACCAGCTGCAGCTTTAAAACAAAGATGGCCACGAGGAAAGCAAGATAAGTTCACTGTCAAGTCTGCCAAGAAACTGCGGATGAGGGTATCCCTGCAGCGTTGGCATCGGCCCTGGACCACCGGGGCCAGGACCCCAAGCCTTAGAGCCACTGGCCAAGCTTAGTCAGTTGCTGGTATGTGATGGCTCTCATGGTGAGCTTTCGCCAAGCAGCTGCATGCTGACAGCTAAAGCGTGAAGTGTCCTGGGTGCGGCACGCCGGGCACGACATTCACCTTTTCCCGTACTGCATGTGGACGCACGTGTTCACTACATGTGCCTGGCACTACCTCCACCCCTGACTCCAATCTTCAAACCAGGTTGAATGGAAGAATCTTTACGAGTCAACACCCACGAGACTGCTGGGGGCAGGAGCAGTCAAATCACTGAATCGAATTGTCTGCGACCTGCAACGGAGGCAGAAGACATGTGTAAGTGCGCAAGCCAAATTGTAAGTCTCAAAGCTGCAAACCTGAAATCCTCCAGCAGCTGCAACTCACCACCAAAGCCAGCTCTTGGAAGTCTCGTGACCTTGACTTTCTTGACTGTGGTTTGCCAATCTTTTCTGCAACTGGGCCCAAAGGAAGAAAAAATAATCGTGACAATATTGCCTCACTTGAGTCATCTTTTGCCAACACAATTTGACAATGCTGAACTTGGATACGAACCCCAGAGCGAGCATTGTCAGTCCAGCCACCCAGCCTTTATGTTGCTTGCGAACAGCGAACACGGTGCACTATTCAAGCTCTGTAACGAAGAGCTTGGCAGTGTCTCTCTCTGCAGGCAAGCTTCGGAGGTTCATGCGTCTCTTTGAATCTCAGCCATCCAGATGCAAAGTTATCATCAACTTTCAATTCAAGTGGTGGAATTAGCCTGAGAAGCTGTTGTAGACTGATTTTGCTGTACGTCATACACCGCCAAAATTCACAGCAAGAAGCTCATCACTCGTCTTGCCAAGAGGTGCCTCCAATCTCATGAGACGGATGACTTGTGTTCTTGCGGATCAAAGTAAAAGAAGAAAATAAGCAAAGCTAAACTCTTTAAAAAAAGGTCTAACACCATGAACCTCAGGTCTGGTCGCAACCCCTCTAGACTCTGAAAGAGCCTGCTCCGCCGTTCCAGCACCTCTGCCTGTTCAAGTGCGATGATCCAAAGGAATTGAATGCAACCAGAAAAAAAAAGTAAAAAGGATGAATCCTCGCCTCGCCCTTCCGCAGCAAATGGAGCCTGTCCAGGACTCTCGCTACCACATCTTGAAAGTATTCCTTCCAAACGATGAAGTCCTCACCTTGTCCTCAGTCTCCACTGTCATTGTTTCCAACTGCAAGGCTGCATCTCTCAAAAGCATTGCAGCATAACCGAAGGAAAGCATCAATTGTTTGTGCCTGCGGTGGTCTTGCGTCTTCATCAAAGTCTGACAGTGAACCTGACGCTGCATGGATTGAACTTTGGCTGAACACTGATGTCCGCAGTTATTTCTTGCGATTCTGAATTGGAGGCAAGACCGTGGCAATGCTGGAGATGCTGTCAGGTGGGTAACGATTTATCTGCATCGATTCTTGCATGAGCAAATGCGCTTCGCATGAAGATGAATTGAATTCCACGCGGACCAAGGGCAATGCATTTCAATCCGAGCATATTTAGATGGAACCAACCTGCTGCCCTTTCAAAGATATACTTGGATATTAGCAGCATCCAAGCGTGCTAAAAAATGAATGCATGTATGTATGTATGTATGTATGTATGTATGTATGTATGTATGTATGTATACACAGATAATTGATGATTGTGTGCTGAGAAGTCACCTGTCCACCCATGCTTCACCCTTTGATCAGCAGCACTGGGCCTTTCATGATCAAAGCGCCTTGTGCAGGGTTGTCCTCAAAATTTTCGAACACCAAAGTCACAAGGGTGCCAAATCCAAGTTCAACCAAATAGCGGTGCCTTGTCTCTGCCAATACCACCATCTCCAACACCAAGAAACCAATCACCGACTGGGAAAGTCACCTTAATTGGCAACGAAAGTGTGTGGGAAAGACTTGACTTGAGGCTGTTAAGCCTTAGAAAAGCCAATGCAAAGCCAATCCAATGCAAAGCTGTACAAGCAATCTCTGGGGTCAAAACCATCCTTTTCAGACGGCCAGCGGATCTGACCTCGATGGTTAAAAGTTAAAAGGTTTGGGCTCCATGACCTGGAGCCCATGCAAAAGAAATGCATGACTAGGCAAAGGAAGGTGGCTAAGGACGAAACGTCACCAAGCCAGAGTGCGTCTGTGGCACTTTGACCTTGAATTGCAGTCAAATCGGTACAAAAGAAGCATCTGTTCTGCTGTAAATCCGCCCGCACCGAAGGTGCTCAGGGCGTGATCATCCGGATGGCATCAACAACTGTAAGGTCAGGTTTACCTGGGGGGGGGCCCTTTTCGAGGCCAAAACCGTGAGTTTTTGATAGGTCGCGACTGCGGTATTAAAAAAATACTTTAAAAATATTGAGTTTTTTGACATGTGGTCTTCGATTTTCGACTTCAAGACGTTCTTTTTTTCATGTCTCTTGTCGGGCGGCCGGGCACCAGATTTTGCAATTTCGGAGCTGTTTGGGCGACAGTTTTCGCCGTTTTTGCTGGGCAGAAACATTGGTTTTTGCAGTGTTTTTGTAAATTGTCTAGGCTTGACGTCTTTGCACGAAAACGTAAAAAACCTCGCAAATAGCAGCGTTTTTGGCGGCCACGTTGTTGAAAACGTCGCAAATTGCAGTGTTTTTTGACAGCAGGCTCAAAAACACTGTAAATAGCAGTGGTTTGGGCCACGGCAAGCTCAAAAACATCGATATTTACAGTGTTTTCTCCCTCGCAAAGCATAAAAACACTGAAAAAATATGGTAAAAAGTGGTGCTTTTGGCCACGGCAAGCTCAAAAACGTCGATATTTGCAGTGGTTTCTGCCTCACAGAACGTAAAAACACTGTAAAATACGGTACATGTACATAGTCGTGTTTTCGGCAACGTCTACGTCACAAACCTCGCTCCGTCAATCACGGTGCTTTGCCGAGATGGAAGAATCAAAGGGGCCATTCAACCAGCGCGTCAAACTTCCAGCTGCAGGTTGCTTAACTGCTTGAGACTCCATCTCGTAAGTTACTCATACCTGCTCTTCAAAAAAAATACTGGGATGTTCAACTCTTAACTGACTCATTACTCTTCATACCTGCTTTTGACCTCTCAGGGCCCTCTGCTCTCTTGCCGCTGATTAGCAGACTGTGGCTTAATGGAGGGGTTTGTAGAAACGGATTGGGGCAGTTCAAGATTCTACGATGCCAATGTTTTGCATATATCTATTATTCTTTCGTGGCGGTGCGGGCGGACCTAGCCGCGGAGCGGCGTGAATAAGTATGACTTGCTGGATTTACATGAGCTCCTAAAAGCTCCCAAAGGCTCCCAACTTTGCTGAGCTTCCTGAACGAAACGCACTCCCATGCATGTTGAAAGACTTTAAACTGGAAAAACCAGCCTGGCCGAGCAACTCGCTCGTTGTGTTGTGCGTCACTTCCTGTCCCACTGACACAGGCCAGCTACCTCTAGTGTCTGCACCCGAGCTGCCTGGTTCTCTGCACTTTGATTTTGTGCATCAAAGCTGACTGCCTGTCAATGGTCAACGAGGCTGCTTGCATTCTGTGGTGTTTCGAGTTCCCAAATGTGTAAAATTTACTGGGGCCTTGAAGTGGCTTGAGTGCCACACAGTCCGAGTATCCGCCTCATAATGAACTGTGCAATACTTTAAATGCCAACAAGCCAACTTTAAAAACCTGATACTGTAATGGGCAATTCTGCTCCTACAATTTGCTTGTAAGCTTGGGGATCGGGCTCCTTTTGCTGCAAAGGCACCCATAGGGCATGCAGAGAGTGCATGATGCCAACTGACTTTGACTCAATACTGAGTTGCTTGCAATTCTGATTCGTGAATTCACATGAGAAGGCCTGATGCAATAAGGATCTTGGTCTCTTGTTTATGAGTACCAATGCAGGCGCACTGTACTTTCTCTCTCTCTCTGTCTGTCCAAGAATTTTAATCTACCCTACCGAACCACTGACCTGAACAGCTCTTGTTGCATGCACACTAAAACACTCAGCAAGTTACGACATCCAGTTGAGCAACCGCGGAGGCGACAGAGATGACAACATCAGGCTGCACTCTACTCATAAGTCTTCTAAGACAAACCAAACATACACGAATCAGGGGCACAATTTTGCAACGCGCAACTGTTCAACGCATGTTCGGAGCTATCGCTGTGGCTCATCCCAAGTACTTGCCTGGGCATTTAGCAGTTTATTGCTTGAACTGGTTCGACTGGTTGTTCGAGGAATGGCTTTGGACTTTGCACAAGAGATTAGTCACTCAAGTCGCTCTGTGAACGGGGTTTAGCTCAATGTCTTCTCCTTGGGCTTGAATGCCTGTCAAACCAGTACGCATCCAAGCCACAAAACAGGGAAGAAATAGTTGCTTCTTCCTGTAAATTTATTGAGAATACCTCGTGAAAAAAGGAAACATTGCACCTCAGATGCTTTCTTGGCAGAGTCGGCCCACTTTTTTGCTTCATCGGCAAGCCTTGGATTCAACATTGTTCCAAAGAGACCTGGGTCTAACATTGAGGTCACGAGGTCTTGAACTTCAAACATGTTGCTCTTGCAAGGTACTGTTGAATACGCGACTCTGATCGCTCAAGTTCTGGTGCTACATCCTGCACCTCAAGGAATTGCTGGGGACACAAGACTGCAAAACAGGTCCAATGCATTGGTAGCCTGGCAATTGAGAAGCACCCTTTGTCAACTGGGTGCAGCACTGAAAATGTTGCAGGAGCAAACGCTGGTGCTGGAGCTGGTGGCGGAGCTACCTGAGATCACGCGTCCAACAACTACTAAGCCCGATGAGTTGAGGATGTCATGAAGCACCTTGGACTTTTGTCGCAGACATGACAAAGGCTGATCGGCAAATGCAAATGAATTGATCTCGGCTTTGGAGACACCTTCATTCCGCTGTGCTTTAACTTCACTTTTTTCGCTTCTAGCTTGGAGGCCATCGCTAGTAGGTATTGATCTCGGCTTTGGAGACACCTCCGCTTTGGAGACACCAAATGTCCCTTTTGCTCTGGCTACATCTTCAAATCAATGGCCCTCGCTTTGTAATCCTGCAAAACACATGCGTGCACAACTGCAGGAGGTTCTAATTGCTTCTTTGAGTTTAGGTTCGCTTCCCCAGAGAACTGTGATTGATCTTAAACTAGTGGTCGTTCATGCATTGTCAAAGTGCTTGGCTCTTAAACACACAAAAGAACAAGTTGCTGCTTGGAGATAAGTTGTGCAAACAGGAACAGCCTTACACCATGCAAGTGAGAAACGCTGTATATATCTCCTCCGCTGCCTTTGCGTACCTGCGACAGCGCCAGGCGCACGTTGAACTCTGAAACTCTCCACATGCAACCAAAAAGCCTGTGCACACATGCACATGGCAAGCGTATCCAAATAAGCTCTGCAACTCATTTTGCAACTGGCCGTGCCCGTGAATTAGGCAACTCGGCCAAGGAGATGGACTGGATTCTCATGAGCCTTGAATGGCAGCACCATGACAGGCTAAGTGCAAGCGACCTGACAACCAGTTTCGGTTGGCTTGAGGTCGGAAACGCTTTGAGAGCAACCCAACGGGCCGAGGGTCTGGTAACACAGTTGTGAGCATGTGTTACTGTTAAAGAATGGTGAAGTATCCGCCCATGGCCCAACGACTGATTCCAGCCAAATCTTCACTCCAGGTCTGAATCATCGTAGTCAGCTGCCATTGCAGCTCGGTCGCGCTCACTTTGCTGACGCCTCTTCTCAACTTGATAATCAACTCGTTTCTTTTGCTTCACGCTCCGTGTGCTCTTGGCATCTCTAGTCCAGCCTTTCACAAACATCTCTTTCTGGTCATAGTACAAGTCAACTGAATCTCCGGTTGTGGGTAGTCTCTGAAGCGTTGGCTCTTGTGCTTGGAGAGGAGCCGCTGTCTTGACAGAAACATTCGGAACACCCATTCCAGGCACCCCAGGTTTGCGACGTTGATTGGAGACAGTCGTCCATGCTGGTGAGCCAGGTGGGCTGAACTGCCGTGTGAAGGCAGGTGAACCAGGTGGACTTGTTTGACGTGCAAAGTGAACAGGTGATGATGATGCAACCGGTGATGTCGACGCTGCAATGGGCGATCCCAATTGCACTGGCCTGGGACGTGCAGCAGGGTAGCCGCCTGGTTCAGGCCCAGGAGAGCCCGATCGTTGCCTTGTAAGACCCATGGGAGCACTTCCAATCGAGTCTCGACGTACTTGCCATGTGGCCGGAGGTGCTCCACCTGGGAGCAGGTCAAACAAACCTCCACCACTTCCACCTGGCCGAACTTGCGAAGTGGGAGAGACGGAGGCAGGCAATGGCATACTGGGGGGCAGCTCCCCCAATGTCGGCATTGGACTGAAAGCATACCCATTTGGACTCAAAGCAGGGGAGTTTGCAAAAGAGAGGCATGGAGAAGCGTGGGGCGACTCCAAAACTCGGAAGGTGCTACCAAAGAAGACCTTGTTCCGTGCTCCCTGCTTGTCCGGCGCCAAGGGTCGTTGAGCCATCGGAAAGCCTCTTCCTCTGTGTTGCTGAAACGCTTGTGTTTTAGGCAAATGCTGTCGGCATTGTTTAGGCAAATACTGAAGAAAATGCAATGCTGTTTCGAGCTGCACAAAATGATATTGCCCCATTTTCTGGCGATCTGGAAGCTGTATTTGATGATGCGGAAAAGGCTGCGATTCTTTTGACAACCATCTGTCATGGTGCTTTGGAAACGCAGTTTTGCAGTCACTAGTAGTAACAAGAAACTACTAGGAACAAGTGCATCGCTTCTAGTAACAAGTGCCTTACTAGTAGTAACAAAAAGCTATTAGAATTAAACACAACTCCAACTAACTTGCCTTTTTTGGCCGCTTTCGACTTTTCTGTTTGGCCGACGAACACCTGCCACAACAGCGGATCTGATATATGAATTCCCAAAAGCACAATGTCTACAATGCACAATCAATGAACTTGATTCGCATACTCTATGCCACCTTTGAACGCTGTTCGCTTTGACCGCAGTTTCTCCAGCTGCTTTCGCTAAAGCATGTCTTGCCTGAGGAAAAAAAATAAATCTGAACTGGTCTTCAATGAGCTTGCCGCATGAGTTTTGCCCCATGCGCCTCATGTTTTCTTTGTTCTAACAGGTCGCTCTCAGCAATTTGTTTTGCTTGTTACAGAAGTTGGCGTGTACAAGTGCAAACACAATAATTGTGTCGTTCTATATTATATGCACTGCACTTTTCTCGATGTATATAGATCTATAATGAATTTGCTAAGGACTCCGGGATATCAAGGAATAACCACCACAATCTATTGATGGGGAGGGTTACCGCAAGAGATGCAATGGAGTGGATGACCCGCTGGCGGGTCGGCACACGACGGGGAGTGTCGGAACACTTGGTACCCGTTGTGTGGTTGGAGGGCGTGCGAACGAAGGGAGCGCGTTACGGCAACCTAGCGAATGCACGAAAGCGAAAAGCGCGAGAGGCAACGGCACGGCGAACGAAGCGACCGACGTGCGCGGATGCTGAAACAAACGCGGGCGCGCCTGTTTCTTGAGCCATAACGGGTGTCGAGTGAGACGAAGGTCACGGACGACGACCTAGACTCTACATGTGAACCTGCATGACAAGTTAGGGGTTATCCATGCTTCACAAACTTTGACTCCCCCCTCGCCGTTTTGGCGCGCCATGGGTTCTATGTACAGGTTTTAATTACCGCGCATGAAGCAGCGGCTTTTGCATCTACTTGGGATCCTAACGAAAAGCTTCGGTCCCTGGTGGACGGCTGTGGCTCACGGATGTCCGTTCGAATGCCAAGGAGGCATAAGGCCTTATACCACTTTTGTGGCGGCAGAGCCTTTGTGAAGATATCCGCGGCCTGTTCGTTAGTATCTATGTATTGGACCGTTATGCTTGGATCGTCCAGACACTCCTTCAAGGAGGACAAGTTGATTTTATGCGTTCGGCCTATGTGACGAAGCTTGGGGGAATACCCCTTGCGAATCAAGTCTACTGGCCTCTGCAACAACTTTTCCCACAGCTGGAGTGCGGGAGTGCCCTCTTGGTAGAGGGAGTGGGCAAGACTCACAACCTCTGATTCAGTTGTTGAACGTGAGGTTGATGTTTGTCGTTTCGAAATCCAAGCCAACGGAAAGAAAGTATTAGGTCCTTTAAGGGTTAGGAACCCCGCTGATGTTGACTTGACATCTTGGTGGTCACCCCCGAAATCGGCATCGACATAGAGCTCGAGTCTCAGATCCTTGGGATCATCTTGACAAGAGGCTGTTAACCTATAAGCCTTAACAACTTTTTGTCATGTACTCTAGTCCAGGCTTGGACTTTAGTAGCTAGGTCGTTAATAGGCTTAAGGATGTCAGGTCTAGACAGGCAGGCCAACCACAGGGCCTTCATTACTATTGAACATGCTTTAGGGGCGAGCTCACCAGGTGAGTCCTCGTCCTCCTTTGGCCATGCTCCGTCAGGGATGAAGGGGGTTTGAGCGGGTTTGATCTTATCGACCTTTGCGACGGTCTTATAAAGGTCTATGGTTTGTTGGGCATAGTGTCAAAGATCAACGCATCTGGGGCCGCGCGTAAAGCAGCGTTCTCTTCCCTGAACTTTATCAAATTTAGCGTAAACATGGTTTCTACCGAGGATTCTATATATGGTTTCGGGAGGCTCTACGTTTACTTCTGACATTAGTTTATTCCAGAACGGAGCGCGATGCTCGGACGGACCAGATAATGTCAAGTCATCTACGTACGTAGAGAGCATGAGACCTGTCCCTTTGAAATAAAAATTTCCGGGATATTCAGGAATCTCCTCACCGTCCATTTTCTTCAGAATCCCCTTTAAATGACATTCCCACATCCCCCCTGCATCGGGATGCCCATATAATGCCCTTACTAGAAGTACTACTGGGCGGACGAATTTCACTCTCCACCACTCCGGGCGGAGTTCGGGTGGGAGTTCAATCCACGTTTTGTCGTTTTGTACTTGCTTTTCAAAAAGGCTTGGACGTACGCCTTTACGGCGTCCGCCGCGGTGCAGGAGTGTCCCGGCAATGAGCCGTAAGCTAGACAGGCGTTTAAGCCCTGTACGGACGTTGGGCGCGCGCCCAACTCTTCGTAGACAGCTGCTACGCCATTTTCGTCGCGCGCACAGTCGCCGCGATACACTATACGCCCTTTCATTTTATGGAGGTGTTCTGCCAACGCCCAAAATTTCATCGAGGCGATAGTCATTAAGCGGCCAGAGTGGACCGAGACTTTACTAGCTTTATCTTCCTCTTTTACTGCCTCGTATTCCCTTACTGGTTCGAGCTCCCATGTACCGATGTCGGTGAGGGATGTCGCCTCTTCCTTAACCTTTTCAACGGCTTTTCGGTTGGCAAGCATTTCTGCCCTTGACAGCAGTTTAGTTACCATTGCATGTACCCTACCGTTATGTTTAGGATCTTCGCAAATATCGAAAGCAGCGCGGACCAAGGTTTCTAGATCCATCAGGCACTCGGCCATTTGTTCTGCAACCTCATCGGTCTCGACAGCTAATGCGAAAGCATCGGCTCCTGCTAGGGCGGAGATGTGTTTTAGGGATTGCTCTTTTTCCCTATGTTCCTCTTCCCGCGCCTGGGAGGCAGCGGCTGGGACTACACATGGCATGGCTGGGGCTGGAGCTAAGTTAACCTTTTGTGGGTACAAAGCTCTGGCAATTTCACAAACCATTTGTGGTGGATAAAAGGCAGTTTTGGCAGTTTGCGAACCAACAGCTCGTGTGGGGAGTGAGTGCATTTATGTTGCGAAAAGGCATCTACGATGCGCTGACTTGTTGTCATGAGTCGCCATGTCTTCTTTATGGGTCTACCCTTGGTGGATCGAACCCCCACTGCGCAACCATCGAATTCAACTAGTTGGAACTCTGGATGTGCATCGAAAAATGACTTGACGTCATGACGTGACCAGCTCTCACAACCTTTTGGCCACTCAAACGTGACCGTACCCCCCCGGCAAGCACGATCTCTTGAACTCCTAGTGAACTCTGCGAAGAGTTCACGCACCTGCTGAGTATGGGCACGGGCAAAGCGTGCTCCACCCTTCGACCTGTTCACCCTCTGCCAGGGAGAACCTGACGTGCACGGTATTGACGCCCAAAGATCTGGCACTTCTTCACAAGTTTCCAAACGATTGTGCAACTGTGCTTGCACGTCAGGGTTACTTAGGTCTAGATGTTCCTTGCTTAAAGGGACATGTGGGATTCCCAATTCTAGAAATGTTTTATGTGTCTGAGAATCAGGAGCGCGCGCAAACTCAAACATGCAACTGTTGAACTTGGGTGTCTTCTTCTTACCTCTATTTCTCTTCTTTCTTGCATGACTTACTTGTGGTGCTTCGGACATAGCTGGCGTTCCAAACACAGGCACACCACTTTCAGGTCTAGTATGATCTAGTTGGGTCCTTTGTGTGGTGTGCGGGGTTATTGACAGGCCGGCTATCACCGTCGGTGCAGCGCTAGTGTCCTCTGGATGTTCTGGCGGTGGGTCCACCGGTGGAGGTGGCGGCGGATCTTCAGCGGCTGGGGGCGGAATCTCTTCCACGGAAATCCCCTCCTTTCTTTTGGCGAAAAGATCTGCTTTCTCCTCTTCCACAAGACGAGCGAATCGTTTGCGGCTCTCAGGTGTGTGGTAACGAGTCTTTCGCTCACACGCCTTGCATCCAGGGGTTTCACTAAATTTGATTACTCGATCTAGAGTCATGTAGACACTCCTAGATTTGGGACCAACAGGTGTTGGTGGCGCTGCTCCCTTGCTTTCTTCACCGAATGGCACTTCCTTCATTGGGTAATCAGGCATGTCTAGCTTGGCTATGTCGTCGAGAATACCCAGTGATCCACCATGGAGGTGTCTCAACTTCGTGGATGCCATCGGGAAGATTGGCGGGCCCTCCTCCGTGTAGATTTCTGCTTCAGGAACATCTAACACATTAGGGCGCTTACTAACTTTAAAATCCATGTAATCCATGATTTTGGCTACATAACGAGACTTATGATCGTGCGGTTGTCTGGTCCGCTGGTCCGCTGGTCCGCCGGTCCGCCGGTCCGCCGGTTCGCCGGTCCGCGGGTCCGCTGGTCCGCTGGTCCGCTGGTCGCTGGTCCGCCGGTTCGCCGGTCCGCTGGTCCGCTGGTCCGCTGGTCCGCCGGTCCGCTGGTCCGCCGTCCGCCGGTCCGCTGGTCCGCCGGTCCGCTGGTCCGCTGGTCCGCTGGTCCGCGGTCCGCTGCTCCCCTCCTCTCATGGATGCGCTCGTCCAGTGGTCCGGTCTGCGGTTCCGGTGGTCTATAAACTGGACATGGAAAGATTTTTTTGTTCTTCAGACAGCAACGTTAGGCAGCGTCTGACAATCAACCTCGTTGGGCCTGCCCTGCAAGCATGATGCGGCGGAACGGAAGCGCCTCACCTATACCTGGGGCTTGAAGCCGAAAATCAGTAACAGAAGTCACCCTCATTGAACTGAAGTGATCATGCTTTGGAATGCCCACCAGAATCTCTGATGTACACCGTGCACCCTGCTTTTTCCAAACTTCAACGCCCCCATCCCTGGCCACCGCTCCTGCTAGTCTTGCACCACAGTGTAGGCGCAAGGTCTGCCTACGCTGCTGTTGTGGCTGACAGGTCTGCAATTAAGGGAGACAAGTTCGGATCTAGATTGTCATGACCAAATTCTGGGAAGGGCTCGGCGGGTGGAATACCTACGGGTGGATTGGTTTCACGCAGGTTTTGCAGGACCCACTTGGCTGCCTGCACCTGAACAACCAAACACCTGCGGATGAGCTCTTTTCACACTTCCTTAGCGACTGTTGTATATCTCCACAACGGCTCACTCCTCATCTCTGGGCCGTTTGCGCCGATCTTCCTGGTGCTTCCTTTCCTGGTTGCTGGATGCTTTCTCCATGGCGGCCACCAGCTCCCGCAAAGTCAGCCCACAAGCCCTCATCAATTCATTGTGGTACTTCACCTTGCCCTGCGCTGTGTCTGGGATCACTTTCAAACACAAAGTCTCACCCTGGAGCTGAAGGATGCTGGAATGCTGCTCTGCGGCTGCCGCCATGACCGCTGTCCATTTCTCTTTCGGAAGCGCTTTGCGGCGGCCCTGCTCCCTGCTGGTGCGCATTTTGTCACACGCTTCTTTGCGAGTCATCTTTGGCTTGCCGGTCAGCAAGGTGTGCTTCAGGGTTGCCCGGTCTGTCCAGTGACGGCTGAAGAGACCGTCAGGCTGGACTGTGACGCCATTCTCGCCAAAACCAAAATCACTTGCCCGCACTTCATCAAGAACCAGCGGCTTTTCGCCTGCGGGTGGATCTTGGGGCGGTAGGTCCTCCACGACTTCGGCCACGCTGTCTGGAGGCCTTTCAAGCGAGTTGGGCCCAGGTTCCGCATCTTCTTCTTCAGGTTCAAGTTCAAACTCTTCTTCCTCGCCAGCTTGGGGAAGTCGAAGTCCGGGACCATGCTGGGTCGAAGCAAAATCTTCCGTCTGATAAGGAACACGCAAAGTTGCCAAATCGAAAGCAGGTTGCGGACTTGGCTGCTGGGGAAAATGGTCTGGGCTAGCGGCAGCATCTCCCAAAGCAATATGCTTCAGCTTCTGGACCTGAATTCGCGAATATAGCGCCAACCACAGATCTTGGGTTTTTGAAAATAAACAAACAAGAAACAAAGTGCCAAGAAACCAATTGGAGCAGAGCATAGGCCCTTTGGCAATGATCTGGAGTGACCTGCAAATCCCTCCGTCCAAGAGCTTCAACACTGTGCGCACCCACAAAGATTTCAAACACCAGGAGCAAAGCCGCCAAAACTCCCACTTGCCACGGAGCGGCTCCAAAGCGAGCGCCACCCTGAACATCCCCTGATTCGCGAGACAGATGGGCTTGCACATTCATTCCACCTTGGTAGGACATGTGCCAAGACTCCGCCTCCGGAGTGAGGGCAATGACTTGGTGAGGTTGGTCGAAGTAGGCAGTGACTCGGGAGACAGCGGCCGTCAGGGAGCACTCTGCTGGAATGGCAAAGCTTCTGTTGGCAACGCGCCACTGAGCTTCAAACCCAGACGTCGACGCAGGAGAACGTTTGAACCGTAGGCGGCTCATCTTGCCATCCAAGAGCCTCACAGGGTACCCATCTTCTGATGGGACATAGTCGCCCGCTGCATTCTGGGTGAGCTGCACTGCTTTTTCATCTTCAAGGCCAACGTCTTTCCACTCCTGAGCAGCGGCATCTGGCGAAGCAGCCTCTTTGGCTATGCCCAGCAGTGCCGCAATTTCGGCTGTGAGAGGAACCCATCGGTGCCGGGAAACTCCTGCGCTAAGCAAATCCAGCAAAGAATGTGAGCAGATTTTACAGAATCCAAAACGCTTTAACACAACACCCATCGCGCAGAACACCTGTCCTGGAGGGCAACAGAAATCTGCCGGCATGTCTTCATGCGGCTGCACAGGGCGGCCAGTGGAGATGACAAACCGTTCTTTGGTGGAAGCTGCGTGGCAACCAACCTCACCTCTTTCCATAGGGATGTATTGCGCAGGGTGCATATTGCAAGTGATCCCCATGCTAACGGTTCTAGCAAGCTTCTCTCCATAGCTCCCATTCGTTTTCGTGGCGCGAGCGCTGGTTCCAAACTGCAAGAGCTTGTTGAAGGCACTCTGGTACGGGTTCACCCTTGCCTTGGCTTTCTCCTTGGATGCAGGCCCATCGGACAAGAGACCCAAGCTGAGCAGGAAGTCGTAGGCCTCATCAAAATTCCCCAGCAAGCCAAACCAGCATCGGCCAGACCAGTCTCCGGGCAACTTGTCAGCATTTCGGACCTGGTTCCAATCGCCCGAGCATCGATGGAACCACTCCTCAGGTGTTGCGCTGGCAACCATTGCGGAGAATAGCTTCGGCTTCAACCTGGCACAAATGGCGGGCTCGTTTTTGGTTAGAATTCAACACCTAAAACTTCCCAGCCCCCTGTTTCAACAGCCCGCTCACACCTGTGCTGCACTGGCGCAGGAGCGCCTTCTTCCACACAATATGTCGCCAGCTTGGACTCCGCGTTCGTCAAGATGACTGCGTCCAACTCCTGCCCACAAGCCTCTGCATGTCCTGTCAAGGATGATTTTCTCGTCTGGGCGTAGTTGACATTAATTGCAACCAACGTCAAAGGCGATGGCGAGGTAGCAAAGACAGCCACTTTGGCACCGTTCACAAGAGCACACATCAGCGACAAGCAGTGGAGGGCGTAAGGAAATTCTGCATGGGCTGCCCTAACAGCGTATGTTTGGCAGAAGCGGTGCCCAGCTTCTCCAAGGATGTAGCTTGGGTCGAAGCACTTGTCCACTTCATCCCACATCAAATTCATGGCAGGGATGTACTGTCTGTCTTCGTGGGCTCCAGACAAGGGCCCCAGAACTGACGACATGGCTTGGTCGCGCCACCGAGCTCAGAGCAGACGCGGCTGTCACGGCCATCATGCAAGGCTTTGTTGGAACACTTTAGTCAGACTTAGTCGAAGCTACGCAAAACAGTTTGGTTTCAAAGCGAGGCATCTGCACATGCGCACTGACAGAGTCATGTACCGCGTGATATGTAGCCGTTTGAAGCAACAGGTCGATGCAATGAGCGGGTACGACACACCATGAATTTTCCATTCCACAGCTTCGATCCAGTCTATAAGGCACAGGCCGCGCTTGAAATCCTAAATCTTAACTTTAGACTGTCAGTCGGTCCCTTCCAATGCCGCAGAGCCGGCGACCTCCTCTGGTCTGTAGCCTCCTTGGAGTATAATTTCATTGTGGCTCCACGCCATATCGAGCAAGAAGAATTGGAAGCCGTGCTTGTTCATGTGCTTGGTTTGGTGCTTGTACTTGCTCAACCAGGTAAAAGTGAATTCACAGACCGAAGTCCGAATGCCTTGAAGAAGAGAAGCGTTTGCAGGCAAGGCTGGGTCGCACGTCTCTTTACACCAAGCATCGGTATGGCCAGCCATGTGGAACTTGTCGCACACGTACTTCATCTCTGGCGGGGCTATCTGGGCAGCAGCTTCTGAATCCTGCGCATGGGCAATATAAAACGTGAAACGCATTCACGCAAGAAACAACAGAACACTAGCACGGTGCTTATAGCTCTCACTGCCCAAAGAATTTCGTGGCTTTGTCATCCCCTTTGAGTTTCCGTCCTGGGCGCGACGAGCCGCGTACTTGTGCAAATGGCAAGCATCATCGTGGACCACCACGCGAAGGGACGGCAAGAGGGCTTTCACAGACGCCAGACATAGGTATCTCTGGCTCAACGACTCACAGCCGTAGATTTCTTGCGTGTGCAAAATCAAACCCTCAGACAAACACGCGCACAACATTCCAGCAGATTTGGCAAGCTGCCTTTGAGCAGCGCTGCCTTCCTTGTGTGTGCAGCAAGTCACGCACTGCAAATCTGTTGGGTCGGATGAGCGCCCAATCTCTTGCAACGTTAAACTCGCAAGCATCGAAGGTCCAAGCGATGAGGAAGAGCCGCCTCTGCCGTCTGCCTCCTCTTCTCGCCGTGGGCGTTTGCTGGGTTTCAACTTCGCCTCGCCCACTTGCTGCAAATAGTTGGACAGGACAGACGCTGGAACTGCAGAATCGGATACCCAAGCTTCTCTTTGAGGCTCCACAGTCTCTTTCAGCAAGACCATCAAGCACTGTCCGTCATTGATGAGCTTGTGCTGAAGAATGGTCACTTCCTGAGGCAGAGTGGCTGAAAAAGAAAAACCTTACCCATTTTTGCGGTTGGAAATGCTTTGCCCCCCCGCCTGGAATTGATCATCTTGACTGCAATGGGCGGGACAGAAGCATCTCCGAAAAGCGGGAGTATTGGCACAGTTGTGGCGGACCGCCCGGCGCAATTCCTTGGAAAAAGTTTCTCCGGCCAATGAGGCTCCGCAAACAGCTCGACGATTTTTTGCATTGCCATCGAGCACAACAACGTCACAGCGCATCGTGGCTTTTTGGGCTTCCTCCAAGGTAGTCCTGCCAAATTCTCTTTGCAACTGCGGCAAGAATAAGCCAATCATGTCCTCCATGGGCCGCAAGAAATCAAAAGATGCTAGGTCCAAATTGCTTTGGTGCACCCGGGTGAGGAGACGCCAAGCAAACCACCCCTGGCTAATGAGAAGCCGCAATCGAGCTGTTGGTAAGAGATGGAGCTGGGAATTGTAAGCTGCCTGCGCGCCGAGCACATCTGCTTCACTTGTGAAAGACGCATGTTGCCTCACCATGCGTACGTGAAACTGTTGCAACCAGGGGACACTGAAGCCGAAGGTGGCGGACAACATGAAGCAGTTCAACTCAGGTAGCTCTCCTGCAAAATGATGGCACCCACTCCGCACGGTATAGTTGTACCACAGCAGCACACCAAAGTCTGGACAGGAGGATCGCCGACATCTCAGTGGAATGTGTTGTTTCTGGACCAAACCCGACAGATCTACGACGATAGCTGCAGCAGCGGAGCTCCGACATTCAGCAAGTCGTCCTCCGCACCCAGGGCAAGCAACAAGCTGCGGCACCAATTCTTGAGCTTTGCTTTCCCGGCCGAAAACAGCAACCCTTTGGTTGAAGAGCGGTTCTAATCTGGTCGCCAAATGATGGACTAGTTCTGGCGAAATTTGCGCAGCCGGGTCCGCGTCACAAATGGCTTGCGCAAGGACCCCATGGCACTGATGCTGTGGATTCGTCATTGCAGCTGCATGAAAAAAAGAAAAAGCTAGATTGATGTTTGCTGATAGCAGGGTGGCTTGCGGGTCTCGCGCTTGCAATCGGCAACTTGCATACTTGCATGCTGGTTCAAAAGCAGAAGCACGGTAGATGTTTGCAAGTCATGTTTTCGACCGCGGTTGCAATCATGCGCCGATGAAAGAAATCAAGAGACAAGGCCAGCAGCTTGAGGATGAAAGAAGACGATGCGGCCAAGTGAAAAGGCTCATGCCATGGGCGACACAGGCAGCAAGCTGTTAGCAAAGCGATTGACTTCATTAGTACAGCCAGACGAAACTCCCACCGCGCCTCCAAATGCCAAGCGGCGAAGCAGCAAGGCGAAGCCTGACCAAGGACGCATTGAGTGTCCCGGGCTGAAACAGTAGTAGCAGCAAAATAGTAGCAGCAAAAACAACAAGAACAACAACCAAAACACCCATCACCACCACCATTATTATCTCCGCTGGTCCGCTGGCCTGTTGGTGGCGCAGGCAAGGGTGGGAAGGGTGGGACTCTATGTCAAGTGCTGGCGCCCGCTGGTCCGCTTAGCCGCTATCCGCTGGTCGTTGCCTGCACTGCTGGTCCGCTCGTCCGCTGGTCGCTGCTCCGCTGGTCCGCCGAAGCTGGTTCGCCAGCCTGCTGGTCCGCCGGTCCGCTGGTCCGCCGGTCCGCCGGTCCGCGGGTCCGCCGGTCCGCCCCAGTCCGCCGGTCCGCTGGTCCGCCGGTCCGCTGGTCCGCTGGTCCGCCGGTTCGCCGGTTCGCCGGTCGCTGGTCCGCTGGTCCGCCGGTCCGCCGGTCCGCTGGTCCGCTGGTCCGCCGGTCCGCCGGTCCGCCGGTTCGCCGGTCCGCGGGTCCGCTGGTCCGCTGGTCCGCTGGTCGCTGGTCCGCCGGTTCGCCGGTCCGCTGGTCCGCTGGTCCGCTGGTCCGCCGGTCCGCTGGTCCGCTGGTCCGCTGTTCGGCTTGGACGGTAAGGGGATCGTGAGTGCATAACGATAACGGAACCCTGACTCTATGCGCCATCCCATGAAAAGGCCAGGCGACATGTTTGGTTCAAGAGTCCTCTTTCCGACTTTTCTGTCACGGTAATAAACCAACTGACCAAAACATCTACGCGCGCCATCGAACTTAGACCTGGTTAGGGCTTCCCACTGCGATTTGGCCGGGTCGGACAGTGAGGGACGGTCAAACGACATCGACACGCAGGCATATGGGAATGAGTATGCGTGAAACTCATACGGCAGCCCGGACTGCATATGTATTGCACGACAACACTCTTTCTCCTCTCGAATGTCTCGCTCGAGTGTGGCGTTATGGGGCCACCTGTTGGGTAACGAAACTTCGGGGAGTAGGCCCACTTCGTGAGCGGCCTGTTCCAACTCGCCCGCGTCGTCCATCTTAATGAGGACGCACGACGCTAATTCATTCGCTCTCAACCCCAAGAAATGCCTAAAGTTCTTGGCGCGATTGCTAGCTGTCCTGTTTACCATCGGGTAGGCTATCCTAGCACCCGACAACGTGTCTCTGACTGTCACTGTATGGAAAGCCTTAGTCCCGCCCGTTCCTTTTCCGACAAAGTCATCGCCCTTGGCCATGAGTACATCGTCGGTGGACAGCTGCTCGAATGGTCCCTTGGGAGGGTCGAGCATGTCGTCATCCCTGGTATCGGGCTTCCTAGCCCCCTCTTTCTGGTGGATTTGGAAATTTGGCAAACAGGGCGATAAGGGTTGTTAGGGAAATGGATTAGTATATGTGGCTCCTCAAATGCGGCTGCCTTGAGGGCCTCAGGCGTCCCATCTAGTTCCACATCTGCGATCTCAAGAAGGGTCTTGTCGTCGTCAGGGTGTGGAGGTATCCCGTCCGCGCCGGGCTAGGGGCAGCGGCTATTGAACCCTTACTACTAGTGTTGGATTTTGGGGAAACATCAGAATCTATGTCAATGGGTTCGCTCACGACGTCGTCAGCCACGCTAGGCGTGGAGAGTTCGCCGTCCGAGAAGGCGGATTCCTCGTGTGGGGTGGACGCTGGGGAGGCGTCGACTGCGTCCATTGGCTGTAGTCGGTCTGGCGGAGTAAAAGCGACGGGTGTGACTTCCTCGTCGTATTGTGGCACGTACTCCACGACGCGGCTAGCACAGATCCTGTGTTTTCGGGGTATGCGTAGTTTACAATTAGGGACCACACTCGGTGGAACGAGATATGGTACCTCCTCCCGAGGGTCTCAAATGAACATGTACCCCTTATCTATGACAGTCTTTCCTATAGACTGTGCGGGAGGGCGCTCGTTCAAAATGTAAACTTCTTCTCCTTCGAGTATGGGGCTACCCCTAAACGCTAGAGATTTTACGCTCTGCTGGGCGCCCCCCCTGTTGTAAAATTCACAGGGTTTTGAGAAGGAGCTGCATGTTGTCTCATGCTAGGGGTTAGGCTTGTTTGCCGAATAAGTGCCTACCGGCTGCGGTGTCCCACAGCCATGAGATCTTACCATCAGAAAAGGCAGGTAGAGCATGCACCTGTGCCACCGCGCGGCAGTCGCCTTTGCCTTTTCTTTAGCAAATCGTAGGGCTTTAGGGGGAGGTCCCTTATACTTATTCTGCGAATCGTGCAAGAAGGCGCACTGCTTCGCCCTGCAGCTATTATAAGCATAGAATGCACATGGGGTTCTAGCTTTCTCCTGGGCGGTCCTGTCGGCAGCGCGTTTCACCTGTTGAGACCGTGGGGTCGTAGGTGGGGTTGGTGTGCTGCCTCGAGGCTTGGCCTTTGGCGGGCCTTTTGGCGCCTTAGACTTGGTCTTCTTGTCTTCCTTGGACTTTTCCTTCTTGGGTTTGTCGGTCTTGGCTGGGTTAGCGGGAATTGCTTTAGTACTATAGGAGGTGGCCAAATCGGCAGTATGGGAATCCCGCAACTTCTGCCTGTTAGCTTTAATCCTTTCTAGTTCTATGCGCAAGTCGACTTTTTCCCACAGCCATTTAGTAGCCCGACGATGGCTTCCTAGCGGAGACTCTCTTGACTTAGCTATTTGGCAGCTAGTGGGGCGAATTGCTCAAGTTCATCCAAAAGATGGTTGAACAGAGTTGTCTCTTTCGGCAGATCCTCGGACGGGATCGCGGCAAGAATGTACCTGTATTTCTCTTGGCAGGTTATGAGGTCCTCGGTCTTATCCCCTTTAGCTTTAGGGTCAAAAGGTTCCTCTCGCCTAACACGCCGATTCTGTCTTTCTTTAACTGACTGAAAATGACTAAAAACCGTAGCGAGCATGACGCGACCGCATGGCATGCCAACACCCGAGAGTCTGGATTCTTCCACCATTCGTTGGAAAATGGTACCGAATCTACCGGATTTACACACTTTCGACATCTTCGCGGCGATTTCCCGGTCGGTTCTTGCAAACCGTCGATCGCTGCGAAGGGCGGAATCGTCCTTGGTAAGACATTCTTGAGCCCAATGGTACAAGTCTGGGCCTGGGGTTTTCTGCAACGTACCAATGTTCAAAAGAACCTGGTTGATGTGTCCCCGTGCCTGACCTGAATCAACGGGTACATTAGGTAGAATCAAATTAGATAAGCCCTTAACATAAACTGCGTCGGTCTCATGCTCTGCATAGTCAGTAATTTCTGAACTAGCAGTTGGAGTTGACTCAACCTTTGCATCTTCCCTATTCATTGTGAGGGAGGGGCACCTGATTTCCTTGCGCTTGCGTCCACACATCCTACAAGAATCTTCAACTTCGCTGTCGCTTGAAGAGGAGGACGAACTAGGCGACCCTCCGCCATCTTCCCCTTTGGTCCGCTCGAAGACGGGGAAGACTCTTGCTCCTGGTTGTGGTGGAGGTGGTTGTGTTGAGGACGCTGCAACATTAACAGCAGGCGTCGGATACCCGGCCGGCATCGGAGCACACGCACAAGGCTTAGGACACACGGCTGACGCCTCGGTCATGAGACCTGGTGGCGGTGGCGGTGGTGCCAAGTGACATGGAAGGGGCACTCCATGTTCAGGCGGTGACGGAACGGGAGGTTGTCCAGTTCGCACATACGCTAACAACTGGTTTAACATCTCCCTAGTCTGACCTAACTCACGTTCGAGCGATGCAACATAAATCGAATCTCGCTGCACAGGGGTGACAGCACCATGAGGTGTGCCAACAGGGGTCCCAACGTAAAACTCTTGGGGAGCCTGGGGGTGGAAGCTCTTTGGAATTTGCGTATTGACAGGTTGCGCTGTCATGGGCATGGTTTCATGCGACGCTGCCTGAAAAGGCGCTCCAAATTCGGAACCTCCAAATTGTTGGCTCAACGTGGAACGAACGCCGTGTAGTGGTTGGGTCGATGGCGCCGGGGAGACTACCGGTGGTTCCTTTGGCGAACTTGGGACTGGTGACCTTGCGGCTAGTTGCAATTGCTGCGCGAGGTATGCATTGTGCCTTTGAAGTTCTAACAACTCAGCACTTGCAGTGGTATTCACCTGATCTACATGCGCACGATAGGCCGCCTCTACGCCAGAGGCCCATTGGTGGGCTTGTTGTTCTAACAAACGCTGGCGTTGAACATGTTCATGTTGTTGGGACTGGACGTACTGTTCAGCTTGAGCCCTTACATGATCAACCATAGCCTCTGCTTGAGCCTTAGCTTGTCCTACCATGCTCTCAGCCTGTTGGCGAGTTTCATGGACGACAAATTGAGCCTGGGAGTGGACATGGGTCGCATGTTCCTCGGCTTGGGCGGCTAGTTGTCTAGCTCGCATCGCTTCAATGGCTTGTTGTTCCGCCATTGAGGCGGCGTAATGCGCTATCTGCGCGGCCTGGTTGGCCTCCTGTATTGCGGCTCCCGCTACAAAAGCAGCCGCCGGCATATTAGGGTCTATTGTATTAGGGTTGTAAGGTTGGGACGGCTTAGGAACAGAGGCTAAAGATATGAAGGGTACCGGTCGTTGACTAGAACTACTAGGGACCCCCCTGTGCGCCCATGGAACATGCCTACCCTAACGAACGA